TTTTATAAAAACTAAAAATAAATACATATAAATACATACATATATTTATTTATATATAAATACATGTATAAATATATATGAAAAATATTACACTTGCAATTATCTTTGGTTAGACGAGAAGGTTTATCTGTTGGGAGGGTTAATGAAGACACATTATAGGTGCTGATAATGTTCTATTGCTTTATCTGGGTGATGATTCCTTAAGTGTGATCACTTTGCAAGCAATTATTGCACTATACTTACGGTTTGGACATTTCATTGTATACATATGTACACAAAATAGTTTATTTATTTTTAGTTTTAGTTTTTAGAGGTAGTTTTTTCTATGTTGCCCAAGCTGGACTCAAACCTCTGGGCTACAGAGAGCTTCCTGTATCAGCTTCCCCAGGGAGTCACTGTGCCTGGTCAAAATTATTTTGTTGTTGTTGTTTTCAGTTTTAGTATGGGAAATATGTGTCACTTAATGAAATATAGATATGGAAAAGTTAGCATAGGCCTATTATTAGTCTTTGATGTATTTGGAAAAAATTTCAACAGGCAAGTTTTTTAAGCTTGGAAAATGAGTGATAAATTTATCAGATAAATTCTCTGATAAATGGGCACTTACAGATTATGACTATCATAGAAAACTATTCCAGATAGTATACTCATTGGATTTTAGAAATTCATCAAATTTTCTAAAGAAGCACTTTATAGGAGTCTTGACTTATATACTAAATTATGACACATTATATTAACTGTTCCCTCTAACAAATGCAATCTCTTTGAAGTCATGATCAGATAGCCTCAGTTCTAGAAACTTGTTTAGAAAGAAAAAGTTTTGCTAATGCAAAGATTGTAGCCTGATGTTACTTAACATATGTATACGTAAAGATCATTTTTGTATACTTCGGTAGAATTTTTTTTTTGACAAATCCAATAAATGTTTTCCATTTTTTGAAGTCATTTGTTCCCAGAGATAAGTTATATATGTCCAAGAATATTTTATCTGAACTAGAAAATATCTGACTTGTTTTTCAATAACAATAATATCAGACTACTAAAACATCAGTGGCAAAGCAAAGACACTGTTTTCATGACTGTGATAACTATCCTTATCTCTATTACTATTACATTATCATATTTACATGGCCATTAACTACAAAATGCTAATATGCTATCTAATAAAAAAGATGAACATTAAAATTAAAGGATGATAAAATAACCCATGTTGATATTTTTATATTTAGTAACCAAGTTTGCCTTAGCAAATATCACGTTTTGCTTTTAATTATATCTTAACAAGTAGTGATTATAATGTGTAACTCCTTTTGGAAAATAAATGACTTAAATTGACCTACTTTAATTTTATTCATTATCTCTAACTGTTATTAAAACCTGTATTTGACATATGTGAATATTATTTGATCTTTTCAAACCACATTCATTCTCATTAAGAAAGCCCCAAGACATTTTCTTTCAGAATATTTTTCAAATATTCTGAGATTTTACTAGTTATGTGAAATGTGACAGCACTTTCAAGTTCTTTATTATGGTTTCCTTTTACAGCAAGAACCAATTATTCCACACATATTAGTGCCTGGTTTTGAACTCAATATTTAAGCAATTAGTATCTGTATCTATAAATTAATACATTTATATTCCTAACATAGTTTTAATCATACAAAATGAGTAGAAACTGTCTTTTGGGTGCATCAGTGTTAAAGGTAAAAACTGTTTATTTGATGTTAAAGCTTAATTAAACTTCAATTTTGGAAAAGTGAAGGTAAATTTTTGACACTTTTCTGGTTAATTCTATTTCTAGTTCTTCATGAAAGAGGACAACTAAAGAAACATTCATATTATATTTCAAAGGAAAAATGTCTATTTTAGACAAATTGTACTTGTTTTCATATTTTTATACCCAGTAATTGCTGACAACGATGTTCACGTTATGACACCTAATCTACAAAAATTATTTGAACTTTAGTAAAGCCCTTTAACTTTGAATTAAATCATATATTCAGCTGTGAAAATGTTTTAAGCACTGACAAATATATTTATATCTATCGGTATAGATAGATTCACACACTTTTGATTATGCTATGATTAATATAGAAGTTATCATTATAAAATGAATTTGTCTGATCTTTTAGCAAGATAAAGAAAGTGCCTTGAGCTATACCACTTGAAGGTATGTGCTTTTCAATTTTAAGTCCATGAAACAACTTCGGTGGTAATTAAAATTAGCATGTTTATATTGTTTTCTATTGGGTTGGCTCATATGAGTAATACAAGTGCATTTTATAAACCCAAATTCATTATATCTATGCGTTGTTTATTACCAGTTGGGTAGGTCAACTGACAAGAAATGTAAATATACAAGTTGATAATAGAAATCTGATAGCTAGACCAGGTGAAGGAGCATGCTAGAGAGCAATATTTCCATACTCTACACAAAATAAAACATTGCCCATAGGACAGATCATCATGACTCAGTTACAGTAAGCTGATGGTGATGTTCAGATCCTTTGTGGAAGATAATCCCTCTTCTTGAGGAGTAGTAAATGATTCTAGCACATATAATATTCCAAGGGAAACAGGTGAGTATGAAACCACACAGATATATCCTGGGAAAACTGAGCCTACTGTGAGACAGATCTGAAATAAAACTTCATTAATTAAACAAAAATTATTAATTACTTAACCTCTGCAAACTCCTGCTCTTGCTGGGAGAGCACAGTGGAGTTTTGGGTGTACAGATTCAATATCCAATAACCCCTGAAAATTCTGATTATTTTTCCTATAGTTATAGTTGAAAGATGAATAAACAGTACACATTTTTGGAAGAATAGCAAGGACCTTATTCAAGGGTACATGGCCTTTCTTATAATAAAGGGATTGTAGGTCTGTGAACTAAAAATCTTTTTTTTTTGAGCTGGAGTCTCATTCTGTCACCCAGACTGGAGTGCAGTGGCCGCTCCTGGCCACCGCAGCCTTGACCTGCTGGATTCCGGCGATCCTTCCGCCTCAGCCTTCCGAGTAGCTGAACTACAGGCACACTACCACGCCCGGCTAATTTTTTGATTTATTGTAGAGATGACATCTCACCAGGTTGCCCAGGCAGGTCTCAAACCCGCAGGCTCAGGCAATCCACTCACCTTGGCCTCCCAAAGTACGGGATTACAGGCTGAGCCACCGAGCCCAGCCGAAATTCTTGTTATCAACTTATTTTCTATGACAATAATAAATGGTCTGTTCCTCTCAGAATGGGTAATCGAATCTTACATGATAATCCCTCTGTAACATTCCTATGTCCAGGAATCTGTTAATACCTTCCTCTTTAACACAATGAAAGTTTCAGTATCATGTCTTTATATAGTGTAGGCTATTGTTTGGTTCATATTTCATTTAAACAATTGAGCAAGTCATAAGAGATATTCCTAGCCTGTCAAATTCAATACTGAATCCAGAATCTCTTCTGCCAAAAAGCTAATATCAACAATTCTAGCCTGATGTAAGTTTATAGGTCCTTCTACCTTGATACCACAATCAAAAATATCCATCCCACAGATTCCCCGGTATTCTGCCAATATGTATTAGATAAATCATGCAAATATGTTGGTAAATATAACACTTATCATAGGTAGTACTTTATACTTCGTGCTTTAGGACCTGCTGAAACTTGAGTCTAGGTATAGTACAATCTTAGGGTCAGTGAACTATATAGTACATAGGACAAAAACTAGTTTTTGTAAATAAAGTTATGTTGAAATACATTCTATCTTCTTTGTTTTGTTTACAGTTACCTTTGCACTACAGCAAGAAAGCTGAGCAATTATGGTGGAAATCATATGACCTGCAAGGCTAGAATATTTATCTGTCAATTTATGAATATTTAAAGAGCTTGTAAGTTATCTCTCCAGTCCACAAAACGAGAAAAATATGAACAAACTGACAATGACTTTCTGAACACATCACAGAACAGAGATCACAGAGACAAAGATCACCACAAAAATCAGAAGAGATAAGCATAGCCTAAAAGACATAGCTAGAATTTGCTTACCTAAAGCAGAAGCCACGAAAACCATAAAATGGTAAGAATGCTTAAATAGTAATTGTGAATAATTGATGAAAAGTCAGGGCAACTTAATTTAAGAATAAGAAAGTTTCAAAGAAAAGGGCAGAATTCTGTGGGGCCCAACACATTCATGAACTTTCTCTTCAAAAACCCTGCTAGGGTTTAGAAAGTAGAGAGAGAGAAGCTACACTACTGGAACAGGTCATAACTCCAAGACACAATTCCACTAAACTATAAGATTTAAGTGTTACATTATAAAATGTTCTTCCTCCCACAAGCATTAACAAAACAAAAATAAAAAATACACAAACAAAAAAACACAAACAGGACTCCAGACTAATGACAGTAGGTTATTGCTGAAAGACCTTTAAGACACGATTCTTTCTGAAGAGAGAAATTTACAGAAAACCAAATCAAAAGAAGTGACATAAACAAGAAGAGTAGAAAAAAAATTAAGACTCTGTAACTTGTAGTATAAGCATATATTAAACACAGATAAAGTCCTAACCAGTTTAACACAAATCCTCCCAGTAACATCCCATTTGCCTCAGTTCTTATTACTCTAAGCAACATTTTTTATTTTCAACAAAAAAATTGCAAGGCATTCCAAAAGGCAAAAATAATAATAAAATAATTTTTTAAATGCTGTCCAGAGAGGCAAAACAAGCATCATAATAAGACTCACATACAATACAAATGTTGAAAGCATCCAGCAAAATATTAAAAATTACTATGGCTATTATGTTACAAGCTATGATGGAGAAAGTAGACAGTATGTAAAAGGAAATGGGTTATGCAATCAAATGAATGGAAATGCTGAGAACGTATTAAAGAAAACTCTAGAAATCAAAATGGTGGAGAAGGAAGAATTTAAAAATAATAAAAACATAAATTATTTCCATTATATAGCAAATGAAGACACATTGGTTAATGTCAACTCATTGATATACTTGAGAAGGTCAAAAAAGAATCACAAAGATGAAGATATTCTGCAGATATGTCAGTAGAAACTTCCCCAACTGAAAGAGAAAAAAAGAAAGAATAAAACAGAACAAAACAATCAAGAACTATGTGACAATTTCAAAAGGTATACATATACACAATTGAACTCCAAGAAGGGGAAGAAAGAGACACTAGCAGAATAAATACTTTAAGTAATAATCCCTAAAACTTTGCAAAATTAATGTCAATGATAAAGTTGCATAATCAGGAAGCTTAGAGAACACAAAAAAGAATAAATAAATATATATATTTTTAATTGTAGAATGGTGAGGCATATATTCTTTTTTTTCCCTGATATTAGGGAGGATTCATCAAGTCTTTTATCATTATGCTGAGTTGATCAATGAAATTATACTGCTATATAAGGAAGTATTAACCCAATGTAAAAGAAAAATAGAGCAAAATAGAAAAACCAAAAATACATGGGACATACAAAAAGAAAAGTAAAATGACAGGAAATTTAAGTATATCAACAACAATGTTAAAGGTAAATGGATTAAGTCATCAAATTCAACCAAAAGTAACAATTTTTGATCTGGATAAAACACAAAATTCAACTATGTACTATCTACAGGAGACACACTTTAGATTAAAGATAAAACTATGCTTAAAGTAAAACCATAAAAAGTTATACCTCAGCCTGTAATCCCGCACCTTTGGGAGGGTGAGGTGAGTGGATTGCCTGAGCCCATGGATTCAAGACCCGCCTGGGCAGCAAGACCTCATCTCTATAATAAATAAAAAAATCAGCCAGACGTGGTAGCGCATGCCTGTAATTCCGGTTACTTGGAAGGCTGAGGTGGAAGGATCGCCGGAGCCCAGCAGGTCGAGGCTGCGGTGGCTGGGCGCGGCCACTGCACTCCAGTCTGGGTGACAGAGTGAGACTCCAACTCAAAAAAAAAAAAAAAAAGTTATACCATGCAAATAACAATCACAGAAAAACTGGACTGGCTATAATAATACCAGGAAAAAATAGGTTTCAAAATAATATGTTACTTTTGATAAAGATGAACACTTTATAACAAAGAGGTTAATAAGCAGAAAAATGTAAAAATTATGAACATCTATATGTATATGTATATAGAGAGTGAGCATGCATACATAAAGAAAAATTACATATAGAAAAATATATATGTAATACATAAACAGTATGTAAAGAAATACATAAAAATTGACAGAAAAAAGAAAGACATAGACAATTTAACAATCATAGCTGGAGTATTTAATACTACACACTCAATAGCCAATAAACTAGGTACCTAGATCGAAGAAAAATAAGAAACCAAAGCACTTGAATAACAATATAACTTGACCTAACAGATATCTGTGGAAAACTCCTCTCTGTAGCATTGGACCCCACTATTTTTAAATAAACTTGAGATTTCCTTCAGTTTAGACCATATACTATGCTATGAAGCTACCTTTAATAATTTAAAAACAGCCGGGCTTGGTGGCTCAGCCTGTAATCCCGTGCCTTTGGGAGGCTGAGGTAAGTGGATTGCCTGAGCCTGTGGGTTCAAGGCCCACCTGGGCAACTTGGTGAGACCTCATCTCTACAATTAATCAAAAATTAGCCGGGCATGGTAGCATGCGCCTGTAGTTCCAGCTACTTGGAAGGCTGAGGCAGAAGGATCGCCGGAGCCCAGCAGATCAAGGCTGCGTTGGCCGGGCTGCGTTGGCCGGGAGCAGCCACTGCACTCCAGTCTGGGTGACAGAGTGAGACTCCAACTCAAAAAATAACAATAATTTAAAAACAGAATACAATGTATGTGTTCTGAATATAATAGCATGAAATTATAAGTCACTAGAAGGGAAAAATTTGGGAAGCAAAAATACGTGAAATTTTTGTACATATTTATAGTGATGTACATACATGTGATATTGTGCATATTTATATGTGATATTGCATGCATATTTATAGTGTATATGTAATATTTTAATACAAGTAGGCAATGAGCAGTGATCAAATCAGGATAATCGGGAGGTTCACTGCATTAAGAGTTATTTCTTTGTGTTAGAAACATTCCAATACCACTCTTTTAGTTATTTTAAATGTACAATAAATTTTTCTTAGTTAAAATTTGAGAAAATTAAACAATACTCTTCTAAATAATGAATGAGTAAAAGAAGAAATCTAGGAGACTTCTGGCAAGGTGATGACGGGGCAGCATGGTCTGTGAGATCCTCTGTGAAAGAGAACACTCATAAAGACCCTAGCTCTCTCCCAAGGGCTGCAGCTCCCATCTTCTGCAGCCTGCTCTTCACAGGGAACTCAGCTGCCACGGTCACCTGCCATCACTACTCAGATATCACGGTCTGGGCTGCTCCTGCAGTCATGAATGCCGCCACCGTGGTCGTTCCCAGCTCATGTCTGAAGTGACCCACAACTTCAGACCGTGAAGCCCCTGCAAGCAGGATCTTCTGAGATCACTGCTGCCTGGCTGCTGCCGCCGCTGCCACACCACACCCCTAGCCCAGAGACAGGCCTATGGTACTCCCCCATGTATGGAGAAACTGAAGCAGCAGGTCACGGATCCGTAACCAGCTAACTCTCTTCTGGACTGCAGTCATGAGATAGCACCACCTTCTGGGGATCCAAGCAAAATAGATTTTGCTGACCAGTAGAAAGCTTGAAGTCAGAGCTGTAGCTGCTGCTGCCGCCTCCAAGGCAGCAATTACACATCGCACCGCCTGTGTCTGAGGGGAGCTGCAGCCATCCCTGACAAGGCAGCCATTGCACATCACATGACCCGTGCGACCTTGAAGCCCCTGTGACCAAGATCTGCTGAGGTCTACTACCACCGTGAGGTCCTGTCAGGCCGTGGGTCTCCTCCCGTGTGCCTTGAGGCAACATCTCCCTCCCCTTAGGGGTGGGTGAGCAGCTGAGATAAAGACCATCTGGAGCGAGGGATAACACCATCTGCTGGTGATTCAAGGTAACAACACCGAAAGGGGAAAAATGGAAGCCTGACAGACACAGACCAGATCTGAGTGGTGAACAGGGCAGTCGTGAACTGAGTGATGATATGAACTGCCCTTCACAACAGGCCAGGGTCAACTGATCCTAACTGTGAACAAACTTACCAGCCTGAAAAGACAGCTAGAAATCAGAGCTGAAAGGACATTCAACTTAAACAAAAAGTCTCAGAGTGTGCTTGATTGGTTCTGTTAGTCTACTGACTTGATTCTATTCCTTCTGTTTTGTTCCCCCCCTTTTTTCCTCCTTCTTTTCCCTTCTTTTCTTCTCTCCATAAACCATATCTTTGTATAGAGGAATAGCACTCCAATAAGGAGGTTGGGGAGCTTGTATGTTAGTAATATTGTATGTTTTAGGGTTTTTTTGTATGGTAGTTGGTTAGTTTGTAGCTGTGGTCTATTCTTTTTATATGTTTCAATTTTTGTCTCTCTCTCCATTTGTTGGTACACTTGTCTGTTTTCCCCCTTACTCCTCTCTCTCTCCACCCCACTCTTCCCCCCACTGCCTGCTCCATTCTCTTCCCTCTGTTAACCACATTTTATTTCAGGGAGTAAACTTACAATCCCCCTGCATGAACAGATTCCAAGGTAGTGGGAAGTGGGTTTCAGATTATTCGGCAGATGCCAGGACCTGCAGATAGATTTTGAATCACAGCTCCCCCCTTAAGTAAATCTCAAAACTGCAAAAAGGACCACTCCCAACCTACAGTGCAACTCCAGAATTGAACAAAGAGGACATACATAAAGAAGAATAGGAAATTGAACAAACAGAAGTAGAAACAACCCCTCCACCCCTAAATAACAGAACTAAAGAAGATAGTGATGTGGAGGGAAGGAAAAAGTGGGAAAGGGGGGAAAAAAACCAACAAAAAAACCCTGCACAAATGAAGAAAAGCCAAAAGAAGAATATAGGTCTCACACAGACCCCTGGGAGATCAGCACTGAGAAAACAGACTTTGGAATACAAACAATGAAGAGCCCCCAGAATGACTGGTCACATGAAACAAACCCAGACATCAAGACATTAATAGAGAGAATACAAAAAATCAAGGAGAGACAAGAGGAAAATAGGAGGGAGCTGATGTCAGAAATAACAGCAGTAAAGAATACTGTGATGGAAATAAATAACAAACTAATAAGCATGGAAAGCAAAATTAACCAAGCAGAAGAAATAATCTCAGAGCTCGAAGACCAAAATATAGAACTAACCCAAACTGTCCAAAACATGGAAAAGAAGCTCAAAAAGACTGAACAAAACATTCAAGAAAAGAATGATTACTTTAAAAGACTGACCTAAGAGTAACTGGCCTTCCTGAGGGAGAGAGAGAAACAGAGGCCACACTGGAACAAACTATTCATGAAATCATTCAAGAAAACTTCCCTCATCTCATCAATGATGCAAAAATTCAAACACAAGAGATTCAGAGAACCCCTGCAAGAAAACAAATGAGAAGACCAACTCCCAGACACATAATAATTCACCTAAACAAAGTAGGTATGAAAAGAAAAAATCCTAAAGGCAGCAAGAGAAAAAGGTCAGACTATCTACTAGGGATGACCAATTAGAATAGCAGGAGATTTATCTACAGAAACCCTCCAGGCTAAGAGAGCTTGGAGCCCTATCGTCAAAGTTCTAAAAGATAAACAATTTCAACTGAGAATAACCTACCCAGCCAAGCTAAGCTTCATCAGTGAGGGAGAACTGAAATCTTTTCCAGATATCCAATCCTTAAGAACCGACACTGCCACCAGACCACCTCTACAAGAAACACTTAAGAAAGTATTGAACACGAAGAAAAAGAAAAAAGCACAACAACGTTCTTCACAAGAGTACAGGCAAAAGATTGAAAACACACATGAACCAACACCAGAACCAAAAGAAAGACAACACACAAAGAGAAAGAACAACAACTCTGTAAGAAGATTATGATAGGGATCAACTCTCACATTTCAATAATTAGCTTGAATGTGAACAGACTA